CAGGAATGCAGCTCCTCAGGCTTGGTTAACTTGTAGCTTCAAATGACTTTAAAGAATGAGGTGGCAGAGGAGAGTGAAAATATATCACATTGCATAACTGACCTTTGAGAAAACGAAGATAATAGTGAGTGAATAACGTGCTCCCAGAAGAAAGAAGCACCATCAAGTCCCATCTTCAAATGGCTGCCTTGTAAGCAGAGGGGACATCTGCCCAGAGGTATTCAGGTTCATAAAAATTACAAATTATTCCATTACCCATCAGGTTCTATTTTTTCAATTACAAAAGTTAATAATATATGGAATTGCACTCATTGGAATGAACATATTACCACGAAGACTCAAAAATGTGCTCCATGCAAAGGCAAAAAATTTCATATGGCCTCAGTTTTGTTATGGCTTAAGGAAAGTTTTAACATGGTCACATTAAGTTTCTGAAAAACATAAGGTCACTTTTTTCTGGATTCTAGTTTTCTTGAAGATTTGAAGACAGACACTGAGCAAAATGCCATACTGCATACAATAATGATCTTATCTTTCAGTACTGAAGATTAGAGTTGCAACATCAACTTTTGGCAAAGTGAAGAACTGGAGAAAGTGATGGTGAAAAAAAAAATGACAGCAACACATAACTGTCTCATCTAGGAAAAATAACCATGCACTTTCCTGCTCAGTCATTGCAATATGCACCACAAGTGATTTAGCCATAAAAATCATGCAGGTACAAGTGGATTGCCTATTGCTTTAAGCAGGGTGGTTCTCCAAGTCAGAAATAAACCATGTGGCAACATTTTGGTTGATTTGCTTGTTGATATGATGTTATAAAAACAACTTACAACATCCAACTACAATAGAGTGGCCCAGCCAGGAGCCACTGAGTAGTAGTAAAAGATGAGGAAAGCCTAGAAATTGCTCACCTAGGAAAGGTCCGCTCCCATGAGCTAGAGAACAACCCTGGTTCTGCTGGTGACAGTGGACTGGTAAACTGTGGAAGGTCCAGGCGAGGTACCAGGGAGTTTGCACTGCCTGTCTAATCTCTCCATGTGAGGGACAACACAAAGCAAGAGCTAGTGCTCCCATTTAAATTCAGCCAAATTACTCATGGCTTAGAATAGCTAGATGCAAACACTTTTCTTGATTAGAAACAACAACAACAAAACTAGGGTATCTGTGGTGTTCAGAGCAGCATTATCGGATATCCAGTACTTAGAATTACGTCTAACTTTTAAAGGGGGGAAAATGTTCAGCGGTTTGAATCTTTTACTGATCCAGCTATTTGTTTCAATGCCTCTTTTGAAAATGCAGACCCATGGAGTTGTATCCTGTCTACCTCTCCCCAGATACACTTTTCACACCTCCAGCTCTTCCACGAAACAAGTTTTCTCCTCTTTGGAACAAGAAAACAACAACAACAAATTCAAATTAAAAATTTAATTAAGACAAAAAACTGATGTCCTTCAAAAATTTTCAGGCTTAAGAGATAGAGTTTTTTAAAAGTTCCGGTTTAGATGAATAGGTGCTTGTAACCCCCAAATGAAAACTAAGTACAAGACATATTTTCTACAAATATTTCTATTTTGCCAAAGCCAATTAAAGAAAACATTCCAGCAGTTTGACTTATCTTATATCTGGCCCCCTGAGGCACAGCTGCAGACAGAAGAGGGATTGTTCAAAATACACATCAGCCTCCAGAAGGCCTGGCCCAGACATATAATTAGACACTGAGCAAAGGCTTATTGCTTGTTCCTTCCCGTTTACAACATCTTTTACAGAAATCCTTGGGTCCTTACTTAACTTTTACGGAAAACACAATGTTTGACATTTTGCCTAGGTAACTACTGAGCAAAACTGAACCAGGACTTCAAGCTGTGACCCACATCTGCAATATGTGCAACCTAACATTCATACCCCTTGATAAAAGGGGTCCTCTCCTTCAGAAGAGGACTGCTATCATTTTAAACAGAGATAGAAAACAATAGTCGTGAGTGCTCAGAACAGTCCCCCACCCCACACATTATTTTGAAGCGAGACGACGTAAGGACAGCTCATGTCTTAGCGACTCCCTGCGCCAGGAGTTTCATCCTCTGGCCATCCCTCGGCTGATTCCCCCTTGGCAGTGCTGTGTGGGGCCAGCCCGCCTTCCCGCGACCTCCCAGGCTTGGGGTGTCCCTCTCCCATTAGCTTCCCACCAGCCGGGGTAAGGGCAAAACCAAGCCCCGCACACCAGGACACGAGTGATCTGAGCACAGAATGAGATCCAGGGACTCTGACACAGACCTGCTCTGGAGAAATCATTTCAACCCCCTGCCTCAGTTTCTCTGTCTGAAAAAAAGGAGTAACTATCAATTACCTACTCTGTAGGTCATACATTTGCAAAGCTCTTAGGGAGCCAGAAAGCATTATATGAACTATATGCACACATGTTAACGCTGATTAATTTTCTCTGCGCAAACATATCCTTTTTTCTTCTTCACTGCCCCTCCTCTCATTATATCAGCAGTCTCATCTGGAGGAGGATGGGGAACTGCTGACGGCTGAAGTATTTTCCGCAGTTGTTCTTTTGAGATTCAGAAATGCAACCACTCAATGCAGTCCCGAGTTCAGCTGACTGTTTCCTTAATAGCTTTGCTCTTTCATGTGTTTCCTCATTTTCTGTTACATGAATTTAAAGCAATCTGAATTTCAAGTTAATTTGAAATGAGGCAGGATCCATTAGTTGTGGGTATCATTTGCAAAACAGAGGGACAACTTTCACTAACTACGCTTTCAGGTTTCTTCTCAAACACGAGCAGGGCTAGTGATGTGAATAGAATCAGCAGGATTTGATCCAAAAAGCAAGTCAGTATATAGCAGAGCACAGAGATACAGCTGAACTGCATAAGAAGCTAGTAATAAATGCAACAACTCCTACATAGCCTGAGGTTTACACCAGTCACTAGTCCTTTTGTGACAGTGCTTATACAAATGACCTTAAGAATACGCACAAGGCTTTGCAAAAGAAGGTCTACAAGTGTTTTGCCTAGAGTTTTGGGGTTCACATTTTCTGAGGAATTCAATTTAAACACTCTGTGAAACACATCTATTGTTTTAGCCATCATAAAGTAATCCAAGGGGAAATTTAGGACTCTGCCTAGTCAACAGCTCCACAAGTGCAGCTCCCACTGGAGATGCAGGTAGAAGTGGGCCTTCCCACTTGGGGGATCCAAGTAGGAAATCACATTCCTGGCTGGAAAAAATGGGCAATCGCCAGGTGCGTCTTGGATGAATATGACGGCCACTTCAGCCTCAGGTGGATATGTCAAAAATAACACTTTGAAGCTGTACTTCAAGTAAAGGCAATTGGAAGCACACAGAGCTCTGAAGAGACAACTGTTAGAGGCTGCAAACGGAGGGAAATCCGGAGGGAAAAGGCTGAGAGATGGAGGAGTGACCGAGTTTTCCTTATACCCTTCAATAACTACAAACCTATCACTCTTAAACATGGATGCAGTCAATAGCATACAGGCAGAAGGTCAAGTGCCTATTCCACAAGTCATGTTAGCAGCCTCTTAAGACACCAATACTGTCTTCTTTGTTTTTACTGACCATCTAACATAGGGGGAAAGCTGAGCAATTCCACAATAAAAATATTACAGGTTAACCCTTTTGTCTTTACGGTAAAGACATTGGACAATTTAAATTCATAATGCTACCAAGAGAAAGAGTGAGCGACATAAAAGGACAATCCCCAAGAAACGACACCTAATCACTGTACTGGCCGTTTCAAGCGCATCAAAAAAATCTGTGTTAAAAAAAGAACGGAATTTGGCTAGCTTTCCTTCTGCCAAGCAGTCTGCTCTCAACTGACTATAAAACTGCTCATGCTATTGCACCAAAACTCAAAGGCAGAGAGCACACTGACTAATCATATAATGTTGGAAGTATAGTAAAAGGGAAAAAGTATTCTTTCCTGCTTTTTGAAAATGTAATGGGGGTCTCATTAGAAAGGAATTCAATTGCAATAGTTACCTCGGCATGTAAAGGACTCGCTCTGCCACCACAAATCCCACCCTGAAGAAGAGGTTGCTGGCTGGGATGAATGGGAAAACCAGGAACAACAAGCCAACCAAAACTTCTTTGTGTTCCAGTTTCTGCAATAACACAAAATTAAACAAACATCAACTGAAAAAAAAAGTCCAACTTCATTCACCACTATGTTTCCACTTTCATTTTTGGATTCTTATTCATAAAATAAGCAACTCAGATTAATGTTTGATCTACGTGTTGCATTTAAAATATAAATTATGCTAAGTTACTGCTCTTCCATATTTATACACTGCTTGTGTTCTGTGCTTCTGATATACCCAGAACGTATGTAAACATTAACCACGCATGTATTACTCTTGGCATCTTTTCCAAGGTCAGTTCCTCTGTATGTGGATCTCTTTAGATGGCATATGTACTACCTCATATATACTCTATATTAATATACATTAGTATACAATAGTGTGAATGTATATATGAACATGTTTACCGCAGCATGACTGTATGTAAATATACAAGTGCACATCACATACACACAGACTGCTGCGTCCAATCCTAAATGTTTATAACTGAGAAAAAGCAGTTCAATCAGTCATGTTTTGTGTAAAGAAAACTAGCCCCAAATGGCACATTAATGTAGTCACTTTATCCCTTTGGAGACAATATCTAAACTTCAAATGCTGCTTTCTCACACAAGATCTCTATGCTCAATACAGCGTTGAAAATTTGAGACATGTTGTATACTAACATTAATGTCTTTCATTTGGGCTCCTGTTTAAAGCTGGCTTGCTATTTGAGGAGAAATCAAACTGCCACATACAGTTCGACATAACTGTGATTTGCATGGCCAATACCAAAAATCTCAAGACTTTGTAATCAATAGCAGCCTCCATTCCTGCCACGGGGAGACCAAAGCCTTTTTAGGTAAGTTTAGTTTCACTGCTAGCTCCAGTTCAAGAGGCTGGATCAATTCATGCTTTCTCTTGCTGATTTATACGGATGAGATCAAGCTAACAGAGCTACACTTCATTTAAAAGCACACAAGTTGGATTTATTTAGGTGGCATTTAGGTCCGCTAAATCACCCAGCTAGACATCTGTGCTCTCTTGCCCTGCCCTGTAATACTACGGTCTAATCAGCCACTGCAGTTTCCTTCTAAATTCATTTAAAGAAGTGCAGTATTGTCACATTTAGAAACAGATGCAAATAGAATCACTTAATGGTTGTAGTATTTTCTAATTGTTTTGGGCAATTTCTCAACTTTGGAGAGCAAACTGAGTTCCAAAGCTTTTACTGGAGGGATCTAAAAACAGAACTGTTGAACAAGATTTTTGGATAGAGGAATGGAGTCCAATCAATGATGCAAGGCCAAATTCTGCTCTCACTTTGAGCACTACAACCTCTTTTGATTTTTCACAGCTAGAGGCAGTGACACCTGTAACTGCTAGCATAGTTAGTGGTTGAAATTCTGAAGTCCTTCTATAAAATATATTAACCCTATTCTGTGAAAAAGACAATAAAATTTTTGATCGGTACAAAAATGCAAGTGTACTTGTCTGAAGGCTAACATGGCACACTGTCATATATCAGCCTACTCCAACTACAGGAATGAATCATTTACACATGCTAAGCATATTTACTGAGGGCAGCATCTGTCTTCTCTACCTAAAAGTTAAGCATCCAGTCTGAACTTAATTTCTTATCTACCTCTATTGTCAAAGGGAGGTGAGAAGCACATCTGCCAGGTGACTAAGCATCCTAAGCAACTAAGATGGGGTGACACATCACCAGCTCGCTGAAGGGGCCTCTCTGCCACAGCTCCAAGGGATGCTACATTTAGATGGTTCATACTGTGCCCACTCAGAGTGCATAACTCCAGCAAGATGGCTTAAAAGTGGATCACGGTGGTATCTCTATGGTTGTGCCTCAGCTTTCACACAAGCAAGAATGACAAGTAGTACTCAAATATCGTCTCAAATACAGCAGTGGTACAATACTTTTCACAACCATGTAGCAATACCTTTTACTACAGACTCCACTTCAATATTAGTTTGCAATTACCAGGGTTAGCCTGTTCAGCAAATGCTCTTTGAGGAAGACAGAAACCACAAAAGCATGAACTGTGCCAGAGGCCATTTAGGAGGAAAGAGAAGACATAAATTGAACTGCATCTTAATAAAAAAACAAAAGTTAAGGATGAGTCTGAATGACGTAGATACACTTGTCACTGAGAGAAAACAAAGTTGGAAAATGTTTTTACCAAAATAATCATGTTTTTGAGCACAGCTTTTCAAGCAGCACCAGTTGCTGTAGAGGCAGGTATCCACACATGTGCACTGCAGAGGTTAAACATTGTGCATGTGCCCACAAGAAGGAAGGTGACTATGAGTCTCTCCCCTCCAGTATAGGCACTAGACCATGCACTGTGTTTGGAAACTCAGGAATAAATAAAGAGCTGATGTTACTTCAGAGAAGAGTCTTCCTACCCCTACTAAACCGCAGAGTTACAACAAGGTGCAATGACTTCCCCTAGCTCAAAGAAGAAACAAGGCAGAGAAGAAAGTAGAACTTGTGTCTCCAGACTTCATAAATACCTGCTATATAAAGCCCCACAATTGCATACTTCTCTTATCTCCCTTTTCAGTGTGTCGAATCAGTTACCAGTGCCTTTCTGCAGTCAAAACAGGAAACTAGAATAAAGTATTCCCAGAGCTGAAGCAGACACCAATCCATAAAAAGCTGATGAGCAGAGGTGCCCTGTAATGGTCACTTTGGCTTGTAATTACAATAGAAAATCGAATAGGAAAAAAAAAATTGATTAAGAAATTAGTCCTCAACTATAAATGCAAATTATCAGTCCTAGCTCAAACCCAAGCTCCCCTCTCACCCTGCTCCGGGCATATGCTCCATTTCTCTCCTGTCTCTTGCTACTGCCTTCCCACCTTGTCTGGCCTAATTATGGTGCTCGCTTTGCTGCCACTGCACAACCTTGCGAGACTGGAAATTCAGACTGGGAGGCACAAGAAGATATGCTGGGCCAAAGGCAGCGCTCTGCTAAAGGATAAAATGTTCTCCATCCCCAGGAAACCCTCTTGCTTTTAAACGAACCAGCTATCAATCATTTTTCCAGTCGTTGTTGTTAAATCTGTAACTGGGAAAGCAAACCCTGGTTACCACCTCTGGGAAGGACACGGTGTTATTCAAGGCTGCAGCACTGCAGTTAAACAAAAGAAACCGAACACTGGAGAAAAACAAAACAAAACATGCCCATCAAATGGGAAAAAGGAAAATGTGGAGTTAGCTAGGCTGAAGGAGAAAAATGCTATTGCCTGCCTCTTCTCCCTCCATAAAGAGTCACAGCTCTAGACTAATGCCATTGAACGCTGCCAGTTCAGTCCCTCCGGCAGGGCTCGGAGGCAGGAGCCCAGCTGCCTTATGAGCCAGCTGGATGGGGAGGCAGAGCACATACAGAGAGCCACAAACCAGATACCATGGGAACACCACGGTCCTCCGCATTCCTGAAATAAGAAGTACCTGGCAGGTGGCAGTGTCCTTTCTAAAGCATTCAGCTCAGACAGAGGCATTTGTTAAGAACTGGTTCTTCAAGGCCTTTAGCTTTAAGGGCACCAGACTCAGTGCTGTTTGGCTGTATTTCAACCTTCCCCTCCCAAAAACGTGAGATCAATATTGTTACGCTCTTCTATCAAGTTGTTCCAACCTCGGGTGACAAAAAGGTACCCCAGCAAAAATAGCAAAGCAGCTATTACTTCTCTTCAGGGGAAACGATGACGCTTTATCTCTGCTGCTCTAAAACGAGTACACAAAATGAAAGAAATGAACCCCAGCAGTTCTGTGAGCTGGGGGCCTAAAAGAGCCAAGTCCCTTGTGGGTTGGTGTCATTCCTCCTCCAGTAACCTCAGCTCCTCACTTCGCCCAGGCCCAACCTTCTGATCCCCTCCTCCCTACTCCTGTCCTCGTTACATCCCCTAACACCGCCACCTTATGCATCTCCCTCCATGCGCCCTCGCTAAACGGTGCAGGCTGGGCTTGGCCTGATCTTCTGCTAGATGCGGCCTCGCTGGTCAGACAGCAGGTCAAACAGACCCATAACTGCTGAGCTCGCGCTGCAGTCATCCCAGGGCTCTAATTTGGGCTGCCCTCCTCTCTCCAGCCATTAACTCTTCCAAAATTTGTAAGTGCACTTCGTGTATTTCACACCTTGGCCCTGCTGCCGTGACCCATCTGGGGAGGGCTGGTGGCAGACAGTACTTGAGAAGGAACGGAAGATCATTTGGAAACTCATCTCCAGCAAGTAACAGGATGCTCTGAATGCAGCCTCTGGTGCAAGCAATCCCTTAAATCACTGGCTGCCAGAACCTGGGATTTTATACTGGAGAAAAAGTCACCTTATTCACAGCCAGGTCTTATTCCTCCTTCCCTAAATGGTTCCTACTGACCACTGTGGGCGATTAGAGACTGAGCAAAACTGGCCTTTGGTCTCACTCCATTCTGCATGTTCTCTGTTGCAGCTTTGGGAAGGTTGGGCATATAGCAGAGCTATCTGTTTCTGACTTTTTAGCAAGTGCTAACATCTACTCACCTGGACAGCTCAGAGAAAACAGAGCAAAGGACAGAAACACAGCCACAGCCTGTTGAAAAGACCTTTTGTAACCCTGGTGATAACCTTAGACCGCTCAAGCTAACAGCACAAGTGTCACAGGGTACAGTTTTCTCCTTTATCTTTTTCCCTATAAAAATTTACTTAGCAGATTCACCCTTTATTCTCCCTTCCCCAGGAGGAGCTGATATATTTATTGATGGGCAGACAAGCAAGATAGGATGGTGCAAGAACATCAGGGACTGGCACTGTAGGTCTTCAGAAGTAGAGAAGAACAGCACTGATTGAAGATAAACCATAGGAGATGTCCTCCACAGTTTTTTTTAAATAATAAAACAACTTGTAGATTGTTATATTTTTCACAATACTTTTGCAGGGGGAAAAAAAGAAATATTTGATCTATTTATTTGGTTGTTGGCTTATTGTTTAATTATTCTGGTCATCCGAGGCCACTTAGAGACAGCTGAGCAAAGACGGTAGAACCAGCTT